TGTTCTCTACCACCATCCACTTAGGGGAAGGAACCCTAGTGCAGCCAGGTAATGGTGGATGTTGAGGTGGCTCAGGTACCTTTTCTGACACTGTTCCAGTTAGAGGAAGGCATCCATGCCCTTTTTTTTTTTTGCATTGAAGTTTAGTTGACAGACATGTTCCATTAATTTCAGATGTATGTTGTAGTGATTTGGCAAGTTTATACTTAATGCTACGCTCACCACACATGTAACTACCATCTGTCACCAGAGACGCTAGTACAATACCATTGACCATATTCCCTATGCTGTGCCTTTCGTCCCTATGACTTATTCATTCCATAACTGGAAGCCGGTAATACCCCATCCCCTTCAACCATTTTGCCCCTTCCGCAGGCCCCATCCCCTTCAGCAGCCAACAGTTCTCTGTATTTACAGGTCTGTTTCTGCTTTTTTGTTTGTTTTATTTATTTGCTTATTCTACATATAAGTGAAGTCATGTAGTGTTTGTTTTTGTCTTATTTCACTCAGCATAATACACTCTATCTCCATCCACATTGTTACAAATGGCAAGGTTTCGTTCTTTTTTGTGACTAAGTAATATTCCTGTGTGTGTGTGTGTGTGTGTGTGTGTGTGAGAGAGAGAGAGAGAGAGAGAGAGAGAGAGAGAGAGCGCTTCATTATTCATTCATGTATGGAGACCCTTGGGTTGTTTGGCTACATAGTTTGGCTACAGTAAACATAGGGGTGCATATATCTTTATCGCTAGTGTTCTTATTTTCTTTAGGTAAATACCCAGTAGTGGAATTATTGGATCATATGGCAATTCTATTTTTAATTTTTGAGGACCCTCCATACTGTTTTCCACAGTGCCTGCACCAGTTTGCCCACCAACAGTATAAGAGGGTTCCCCTTTCAACACATCCTCACCAACACCTGTTGTTTCCTGTGTTGTTAATTTTAGCCATTCTGACAGGTATGAGGTGATACCTCTTTTTTTATATAATAAATTTATTTTTTATTGGTGTTTAATTTGCCAACATACAGAATAACACCCAGTGCTCATCCCATCAAGTGCCCCCCTCAGTGCCCGTCACCCATTCACCCCCACCCCCCGCCCTCCTCCCCTTCCACCACCCCTAGTTCGTTTCCCAGAGTTAGGAGTGTTGTGGTTTTGATTTGTATTTCCCTGATGGTGAGTGATGTTTAGATCTTTTCACGTCTCTTGGCCACATGGATGTCTTCTTTGGAAAAATGCCTATTCAGATCCTCTGCCCATTTTTTAATTCGATTGCTTGTTTGTTTTGGTGATTAATTGTATAAGTTCTTTATATATTTTGGATATTAATCCCTTATCAGATGTATCATTTGCAAATATCTTTTTCCATTCAGTAGGTTGGCTTTTTGTTTTGTCAGTGATGATTTCCTTTGCTGTGCATAAGCTTTTTTTTTTTAAGATTTTATTTATTTATTCATGAGAGACACACAGAGAGAGAGAGAGAGACAGAAACAGAAACATAGAGGGAGAAGCAGGCTCCGTGTGGGGAGCCCGATGTGGGACTCAGTCCAAGGACCCGAGGATCATGACCTGAGTCAAAGGCAGACACTCAACTGCTGAGCCACCCAAGTGCCCGGTATAGAAGATTTTTATTTTGATGTAGTCCCAACAGTTTGTTTTCACTTTTGTTTCCATTGTCTAAAGAGACAGTTCCGTATGTTACTAAGGCTAAAGTCCAGGCAATTACTATATACGTTTTCTTTTAGGAGCTTTATGGATTCAAGTCCCATATTTAAGCCATTAATCTATTTTGAGCTTATTTTTGTGTGTGGTGTAAGAAAGGGTCCTGTTTCATTCTTTTGCATGTGACTGTCTAGTTTTACCAACACCATTGTTGAAAAGACTGTCCTTTCCCTGTTGTATATTCTTGCCTCTTTTGTCATAGATTGACCATGAAAGTGTGGGTGTGCTTCTGGGCTTTCAATTCTTTTCCTTTGATCTGTGTCTGTTTTTGTGCCAGTCCTGTACTGTTTTGATAACTGCAGCTTTGTGTAGTATATCCTGAAATCTGGGATTATGATACCTCCAGCTTTGTTCTTATTTCTCAAGATCACTTTGGCTAGTTGAGGTTTTTTGTGGTTCCATACAAACTTTATAATTACTTTTTCTAGCTCTGTGAAAAATGCATTTGGTATTTTGAAAGGGATTTCATTAAATATGTAGATTGTGTTAGGTAGTATGGACATTTTAACAATATTAATCCTTCCAATCCATGAGCATAGTATTTATTTCCATTTGTGTCATGTTCAGTTTATCAATGTCTGATAGGTTTCAGAGTACAAGTGTTTCACTTCCTTGGTTAAATTTAACCCTAAGGTATTTATTATTTTTGGTACATTCATAAATGAGATTTTGCCAGATTTCTCTTGCTGCCACTTTGTTATGAGTATTCATATTCTTTTTCCTTTTTTTTTACGATTTGATTTATTTATTTAACTGAGAGACAGCATGAGCACAAGCAGGGGGAAGCAGAGGGCAGAGGAAGAAGCAGACTCCCCACTGAGCAGAGAGCCAGGTGCAGGGCTTGATCCTAGGACCTTAGGATCATGTCCTAAGCCAAAAGCAGGCGCTTAACCAACTGAACCACCAGCTACCCTGTGTATTCATATTCTTAAACTACTTCTTGCTTCAATTTTAGAAGGTTGGGTTTTTTAAATATGTTGTCTACTTACTGTTGTCCCAATCATTAGTGTAAAGCTGGGTATGATATTCCCTAGAAGCCTTTCAAGGCCTAAAGTATCTATGGTGAAGCCTCTGTTTTTATTCCTGATATTGATAATATGCATTTTCTTTTTTTTTTTCTTGATCATTTCTTGTAAGGGTTTAATTATTTTAATTACTTCGAAGAGGGGCACCTGGGTGGCTCAGTGATTGAGCATCTACCTTTGGCTCAGGGCATTATACTGGGGTCCTGGGATCAAGTCCCACATCGGGCTCCCCGCAGGGAGCCTGCTTCTCCCTTTGCCTGTGTCTTGCTTCTCTCTGTGAGTCTCTCATGAATAAATAAAATCTTTTTTTTTTTTTTAAGATTTTACTTATTTATGCATGAGAGACACAGAGACACAGGAGAGGGAGAAGCAGGCTCCATGCAGGGAGCGCGACGTGGGACTTCATCCCTGGTCTCCAGGACCAGGCCCTGGGCCGAAGGTGGCACTAAACCGCTGAGCCACCGAGGCTACCCTCATGAATAAATAAAATCTTAAAAAAATAATAAAATTACTTCAAAGAACTAACTTTTGGCTTTGTTCATTTTTTCTTTTTTCAATTTCATTGATTTCTGCTTTTCCTTCTTCTTTGGGTTTAATTTATAACTTTTTGCAACAGAAGCTTAAGTCACTTATTTTAAACCTAAGAAGTTTTCAAATGCGTGCATTGAGAGCCATAAATTTTACTCATGACTGTTCCATTTGCATCCAGCCATTTCCTGCATATTATTTGGTTTCATTCATTTCAGATATTTTCTGATTCCCTTTATTTAGAATTGTGCTTAATCTCCAAATATTTGAGGATTTTCTACAAATCTTCTGTTATTAATTTCATTTCTTTGGGGACAGAGGGTACGCTCTGTAGGATTTCAATACTTGAAATTTATTGAGATGTGTTATAGTCTTTTTCTTAATCTTCTGAGTACACTTTAAAAGGGTGTACATTCAGCAGTTGGGTGATGTTTCAATAAATATCAGTCAGGCTGAGTGGATTAAATAGTGTTTATATTATTAATCATTTTTGTCTTCTTGCTGTGTTAATTATGGAGAGAAACATATTAAAATCTACAACTGTGATTATTTCTCCTTTTAGTTTTGTTAATTTTTGCTTAATGAATTTTGAAATTTTGTTAGATATGTTTTAGAATTGTCTTTTTTTTTTCAAATTGACTCTCTTACTATTATGCATTGTCTGTCTTTATTCCTGATAACACCCCTTATCTTAGAGTTTACTTTTGGCACGATCTTTTTTCCAATCCATTTGCTTTTGATGTGTCTGTGTCCTTATATTTCAGAGTCTCTTGTGAACAAGATATAGCTATAGTTTGTTGGTTTATGTCTTTAATCCAGGATGACAATACGCCTTTAAATTAGAGGAGTTAGGGATCCCTGGGTGGCGCAGTGGTTTGGCGCCTGCCTTTGGCCCAGGGCGTGATCCTGGAGACCCGGGATCGAATCCCACATCGGGCTCCCGGTGCATGGGGCCTGCTTCTCCCTCTGCCTGTGTCTCTGCCTCTCTCTCTGTGTGTGTGTGTGTGTGTGTGTGTGTGTGTGTGTGACTATCATAAATAAATAAAAATTTATTTAAAAAAATAAAATAAAATAGAGGAGTTAGTCTATTTATGTTTAGTATAAATACTAATATGGCTGAGTCTAACTCTACCATCTTGATATTTATTTTTTGTTTATACCATTTGGTCCTTGTTCCTTTGCTTTTCCTTTCCTGCTTCCATTTTTTTCAGCACAAGGTAGATCTCTTGGTGTTATTTGCAGTTATTTTATAGTGTTGCCATCCACTGTGGTACCCACTAGCCACATGTAGTTAAGTTTAAAATCAGTCCCTCATTATATCAGCCACACTCCAGGGACCCAGTAGCCACATGTGCTTGTTACCACATTGGACAGGACAGATTCCTGCAGAAAGTTCCATCAGACAGCTCCCTGCAGATTGAGGTCAGGATTTATTTTGAGTCAGAATTAGCTAGGGTCCAGGGTGAAAAGGGTAACATTTCTAGTCAGAAGATGTGTGTTTCTGTTGTGTGTTTACTATTGATGGCTTTGTAGTCTGTAAGCCTAAGAGATCTGCTCTTAGCCTCAATTTTCTTTTCTAAAACATGCAGGTAGTAATTCCTGCTCTTTGCTTCATGGAGTGCTTGTGGAAAAGAACACTATAAAATGGTTAGCTGCTTTATGAAGCCTAAGGCAGTTTTGAAGAAAATATTCAAACTCAGTTGACTGTGTTTTGTTTGGTCTTTTAGGTTGCTGACGGAGCTGGAGTCCCCTTCTTGGTGGCCATTTAGTTCCAAGCTTTGGAAGATGCCAGCAGAAACAAACCCCAAGGAAAGCACCTCAATGGCTAGTCCCAAAGTTCTTGGAAAAGAAGGGGTAGTGGTCCGAATTCCTGCTGTTATCTCCCAAGGGAATGCATCTCATGTTAAAGCAGGAAGTCTCACCATCCTTGTGTCTGGGTTGGAAATCCATGACTCCTGTTCTTTGCTCATGCACAGATTCGAAAGAGAAGATATAGATGACATTAAGGTTCACACGCCTTATGAAATTAGCATCCGACAGCGGTTCATTGGGAGGCCAGACATAGCTTATCGCTTGATATCTGCCAAGATGTCAGAAGCTATCCCCATTTTGGAGGTGCAGTTCAGCAAGAAGATGGAGCTGTTAGAAGACGCCTTGATGCCCAGAAGTGCCAGATCGTCTTCCCCAATAGAGAAGGGCTGCTCAGTCTGGCAGGCAGGTAAGTGAGCATTGGCATTTGGAGTGTGCCTCCTTCTCCAAACTTGCAGTCAGAACGTAGCATGCCTGGGGTACACTGTTCACTTGTGTCACTTGGAGCAGCTGCTGATTTCTCTGCAGCAGTGACTGTCCATGTGTTTGTGAATGAAAACAACTTAGTACTTGCCATCTCAGAGTGTGTAAATCCCAGAGCTCAGATTTATCACCCACTGAGTGCTATGTGGGTTTCCCCGGAGGGCAGGAGGGCTTGATGGCCCTTTCAGATCAGAGGCAGGCTCCAAGTTAGGCATTTTCCCCTTTCCTCTGTGTGACCCGCCTGCCCTGGTAGGCATCCAGTCCCTCCACCCCTGACCTCAGCCTCAATCAGGGTCATCTCAGCCTGCCTTCTGGGTACCTGTTTAAGAAATCAGAATCTCTGAGAACTGCAGCATAGTTTTTGTAGGTTTGTAGGCCTCCCCTAGTGGGGAGTGTGTGGCATTGGGCGTGGCCCTGGAGGTTGAGAGAGAGTCCCAGGTCCAAGCCCCAGCCTTGCCTGGGGCAGCCTGGGGTCATCTGACTTGTCAGTTTGCCATCCAGATGGTGTCAGGTAGCATCTCGCTGGTGCCTTTATTTTCATGTCTATCATTGATTGTGATGTGGAACATCTGACGCTCCTTATTTGCTTTCTGGCTTCACGCATTTTTCTCTGTGGATTGTGTGGCTTTTTTGTTGTTGTTGTTGTTGTTGTTTTTCTACTGTGCTGTTTATTTTTTGTGATTTGTAGGAGCTCCTCACATGTAGGTTTGCATCCCTTCTTGGCTCTAGAGGCTACCAGTACCTCTGCCAGACTGTCATTCTCCGTTACAGAAATCCTTAATTTTGCTATGGTCTAATCTAGCATTTTTCCCATTAAGTTTGTTTTAGAGCCCAGCTAAAGAAATCCCAAAGTCATAAAATACCATATTTCCTAATGCTAGCATTATAGGTGACCTATGTCTGCATTATAATGATTTTTCTAACAGCCTAGTAGTCTCTTCTTATTAACTTTGATTGCTGGACATCTTTTACAGTTAGAGAAGTGTTTGTTACGGTTCTGGTTTCGTTTTGCTCGGAAGTGATTGATTTCAGCACTAATATGTAACCTGTTTCCCTAACACATGAACATTTCTAGATGGCTTCAAGTTTCAAAAGAAATATACCTGAAGATAGATCTGGTCCCATAAGCACCAAAATGTAAAAACTTCATTTAAAAACTTATTTCCTTAGCATTTCCAGATTTTTCTTTGGCCCCTCTCTCAGGGCAGGACTGAGAAGGGTGGGCAATGCCACGAGCCTAAGACTCTGAGCAGGTCAGGCCGTTGGCCACCTCTTGCCCCCACACTGCTGTTTTCCTGTGGGAGGAAGAGACTCAGGGCTGCTGGGTCCCAATGCAGAGTGCCTCCAGCCATTGCTTCTGCTGCTGCTGAACCAGAACTCCCTGCGCCAGGCGTAGTGCCAGGCACCCACAGTCCCTGTTCTCATGGAGCTCCGCCTGGTGGTTTCAGAGAAGGGACATGGCACTGAATGTCCTGTGTAGGGGGCAGCTGTGAGCACACGTGGCACAGAGTGTGGCACTGTGCAGGGGAGAAGAGGCTTTCTGGGCCCTGCCCCCACGTGTCCACGTGCAGACAGGGCTGGAGGGGAAAAGGAGGTGCATGCCAGGGCCTCTGCGGCCGTCGTCTGGCTGCAGGAAGCTAGGTGAGTACAGACTCCGCAGGGCCCGCCCTCAGGAAGGGTACAGGCCAAGGCTGCTGACCACAGGCCGAATGTCTTCTTCCTCAGGGAAGCCACAGACAGTTTCCCTCACCTAAAGTCAGCTGGGGCTGGGCCTCCACCACCTCTGCAGACACCTTCCCAGCAACACCTAGATTGCGGGTGGCTCGCATGACGGGGTGTGTGGCCTCGCCTGTCACAGTCAGGGGCTGTGTGTATGGAATGAGTGGAACCACAACCAGGATGACATATGGGTTTTCATCCTGCGCTCAGCCCACTTCAGCCTCTGGGTGGGTTCCCGCAGGAGGTCTGTGACTGCACGGAGCAAGAGGGGCCATCCTCCCGTGGTGAGGCCACCCCATCCCAAGGAGTTTATGCAGAAGGGAGCTGGGGAAGAGGCCAGCATGTGGGCTGTGAGCAGCACCATGTCTGGCTTGCTGGGACCTCTGCAGGAGGCCTGGGCAGCCCTCTCTGTCGCCTCTGATGGTGTTTTCACTGTCCCAGGGTGGAAAGTACAGAAGCAGTGGAGGTGGAAACCATGACTTGACATCTCAGAAATGTACTCCTCTTCTCCAGCCAGGAGCAGTGTTGGTAGAACGTGTGACCAGCAGGTGGCAGCGTCACCACAGCACCCCTGTTTGCCTGGAGTCCGTGTCTGGAAGAACTTTCCAGAGACCTCCACAGTCATGTGAAGTGCCGGTGGCCCAGCCAGCAGCCAGCCACTGCGGTCTCCTGGGCTTCGGGGGTGGGGAATGACACAGGGGGCTGCTTCTACCCTGGGGCGAAGCCATGCAGAGTCCGTGTGTGTTCACACAGCATCTTTAAAGGACTCTTTATGTCCTGGAGTATTTCAGACATGAGGAGGAGCTAGGAGGCTGGTACAGACCCCGATATTCCCCTGCCTTGCCATTCTCATCGTCACAGCTCACACGCATGTGTGCATGCAGCATCACTCTGTGAAGTCTCAGTTCTGTCCAGGCTCTCTCGCACTCACTGTCCAGAACCCCATCTGGAACCCTCGTGCTGGGGGGGCGTCTCCCTGGACCCCCCTGGCCCTGACAGTCTTGACGGCCTGTAGGAGTGCTGCCGAGGTTTCCTAGCATGTCTCCCAATTGTGCTTCACCCGTGTTTTCTCAGGGTCCTGGGGTAATGGGTTTCAGGAAGATGACTTCAGAGCATAGCCCACGCATGGCCTTTTATGTTTTTGGTACTTATTTTTGTCTCTGTTGTTTGCTGACTGCCATATTCTGAGAGAAGCCTTCTCTGGCCACCTGATTAAGAGACCTCCAGTTACCTGCCCTACACTTGCCCTCGGCACTGCTGCCCTCCGGTTGGCTGTTGTGCTTTCACACTGGGGCATGTGCTCTGTCCTCACCAGACACAAGTTGTCTCTTCATGACCACGTCTCCAGCACCCAGAAGAGGCCCAGGCATCCAGGGGCACACGTCTGTGAGACAGTAATACATGTCTGGGGCACTGATATCCAGTGCAGGACTACTCATTGAAGACTTGGGCTTCAGGCAGTGGAGTTCAGTGCCAGGACGTGGCACCACACTGACCACAGGCACACCCCCCACCCACATGGTCACTAGGACGCAGGCACCACGCTGACCACTCACAGACCTCCTTTGGGTACTTAGAAATGGGCACCCCTTGACCCCAGCCGACCCCCTGGGAGCTGTGTGGCTCTCACACACTTGATCTCTTTCCAGGAGCCCCAGGTCCACGCTGTGCACTGTGTAGGTTTGAACATTTGCCAGTAAGTGACTTTGGCTGTAGGCAGTTGGGATTGCTTACTCGCTCTCCGTTTCAGCTCTCTGCTGTGTGAAGGGCGTGGGCATTTTGTGATGTTTGTAGGGCTTCCCACCCCAGTTGTGTATGCTTCTGGGGCTGTCCCTGTGTAGAGTAGGTGTTTCCTTCCCTGTGTCACTGATGAGGCTTTTGGGTCCCAGGGACAAGGAGGAAAATCTGCCCGTGGCCAGATGGGCTTGGAGGGGTTCTTCTGTTCTTGGGGCAGGGCCGGTGGTTCTTGCTCTGAATCCCCAGTGAGGCCGGGATCTGAGGCCAGGGTCTGCGTCTGTACGTCAGGGGGCTGGAGTCCGCAGCTGCCCATAGCAGCCCAGCTGTCGTTCCTGGAAAGTGAAATCATCCCTAAGTTCCCTTGAAGCTGGAACAATTTGTGCTGATTTTGTTTAACTGTGGTAAGTAATGACTTTAGAGGCAGAACCGTTGTATACTGAAGTAAATTCTTTTTCGAAGATATTTCAAGGCATTGAAGTAACTGAGTCAGTGGGTCAGGGCTCAACGCAGAGCACCCAGAGTGCCGAGCTCTGTGCTAGGCGTGATCCTGCTGACCCTGCAACATGTCATAACCGACACCCCTGACTTAGTGTGTTCCGTACTGAGAAATTCTCTATTTTGGCTTTCTAGTTAAGTAAAAAACCCCTTTTGTTTAACATTTTAAAAAGGTCAGCATGTCCCTCCAGAACATAGGGGTATTGGAGTGGAAACCAGAGCAGTGCTGAAGGAGCACAAGGGTGGGCGCTGGCGTCAGAGAAGCTGTGGGGTGCAACACGTTGATACCAAAGCTGTGCAAGCTAAGTGATGCCAGGACATGTGAGCGAAAGTTGCTGCTGATGGAATGGCAGAGTGGAGGACATCTGTGTATGTATGTGATGTATTCGGGAGGTGGGGGGATGCAGAGTGGGCAGAGCCAGTTGGCTGGGGACAGCGTGCCAGGGTGGCTAGAACAGGAGTCCACGAGACAGTGGAGTGGAGTGGACACCAAGGAAGGAGGAGGTTCTGGGCTGAGTGAGGAGACCACTGTTTGTCATCACATCAGCACCAATGACTTGCTAACGTGTGCATGGATTGGCCTGTAAGACTAATAATAGCTGGTGGCACATGTTTGCTATTTCTGCCGTCATACCTTCCAGCTAGCTCTGACGGCTTCTACTGCAGGCGGAACTTTTGCGGTACTTTTCCTTATGTAACATTTTAGTTGTGACACTTTAGATCACGTAAGGCCAAACAGTTGCATGCTGTGGAAAGTTCCTTACTAATTAAATCCCTTAGGAGCTGGAATAGGATGGGACTTTGGAGATTTTAAAACACAGGTTGTGAGATCAGTTTGATTGGTTGCGATCAGCTTTTATTGTTTTTGAAGAATGAACGAGAAAAGCAGACATCTGTGTGCATGGTATACAGTAAGGGCTTTGGTAAGACAGGTAGGCCTCCTGGGTGCAGCTGCGGGTGTGGCGGGCCTCCGTGGGGTGCAGTCCTCACAGGCGCTCTGTGTGGGTGCCCGCCCACTGCTTCCTGAATGCTCTCCTCTGCAGGACCTTGAGAAGCCTCTCTCGTCCCCACAGCAGCCTGCGTTTATCCTGGGTGAGGCCACGCTCCCTTTGCTTAGCCAGGCACCCCTTGGGGAGTATCACTTCGTAAGGATTACTTCGAGGACTGAGAAGAGAGGGTATTTCTGTATGTGTTGGAGGTGGCTGGTCTGTGCCCCAGAAGGAGGGGCTTGGGCAGTTGGTATATGCTGGGGATGGCTCGCTGGGCCCCTTCCCTTCCTGACAGTGCATTCATCAGGCTGCTCTGCTCAAAGGAGCCTCTGCTCACCGCCTCCAGCGTCCCCACGTCCAGGATCCTGTTGGCCCTTCTGTGCCTCCTGTTCCACAGAAGCAGAGACGCGTTCCGAGGAGTTGGTGCTGGCATCCAAACAGCGGATTCTCATCCAAATGCTGTCTGCTTTCCAGCATCGTGATACATGAACGTGACCATGCTGTGTATCCGAGGGGCCTTGTAATATGGGGAAGAACAGGCAGTAGACCTAACTGATGCCCTTCCCTGGACCCTGTGGTGCCAGGGTTTGGATGTCAGCTCTCTAAATAAAGGACGTGGCATGCAGTGGGGGGCATGCAGGGCCTCTTGAGTATCACTGCATCTCCAGGCTGCCCTTCTGCTCTTCCAGGAGCCTGCCCAGGTGCGGGTGCTGGGAACACCCCTGAGCAGGGCCCAGCCACGTTTAGCACTCTGACTCACCCCCCCACCCCCACCCCAAAGTGGCCACGCCACCAGCTTTGCTTGGCCGAGCCAGCCGGCCATTTCCTGTGCCCTGGGGAACCGCAGCGCTCTGTGGGCTGACGAGATGGTGCCGCAGTTTCCAGGACCATGTTTTATGTGCGTTTCACCAGGTTCCGCAAGTGGCCTGTTGGATACTCCCCATGTGTAGCCCTTTCCTGAGAGACCAAATACACAGCCAGACCTGGGACATTGTCAGTGGTGCACTCTCTAACCAGAGCAGGGTAAGGAGGCAGCTTGGGCTAGGGTCCCAGTGAGCCCAGGCAGCCCCCAGCCCGGCTTCACACAGCAGAGCTCAGGAAGATGGACCCACCACAGCTGCCAGCCCAGAGAGAGCTGATGGTCTTAAACATCACTCCCTGTGAGCTTCTGAATGTTCGTGCGTTGTTCGCACCTCCTGGAAGATGTCACTGCTGTTTGACTTTCCATTCCAGCGTCTGGACTGATGGACCGTGCCATGCCCCACGAGCCCTGCTCAGGGAGCCAGGAGGGCCCGTCACTTCAGCTGCAGAGGAGTGAGCCGCTCATCTCTGAGGGGGATGCCCAGGAACTGAGACAGGTAATGTGCACTCCCGGCACCACGTGGTCCCTGCATGTGACATGCTTCTTCTTCTGCCTGCCCCTAGCTCCTCGCTGGGAGATGCTGGCCTGTCTTCTGCAGGGGCCTGTCACTGTGCCCCCCAGCTCTGTCTGCTCGTGTAGCTGGAGAAAGGAAAGAGCGGTGCCCATTCTGAGTCCCTGTGTTCCATGGCACACAGACACTCCGTGCGCACGGCCCCCCTGCTGGCTGCTCTGCCTGTTGTACATGTACACGTGCAAGTATACATGTGGGCTGTGTGTGTGCAGGATATGCAGGTTCATGTGGGCTTTCTGTGCATATACATGTGTGCATATGTGTGGTACATGTACTCGTGTGTACGTGTGTGTGCTATGGGTGTGGTGCCCTGTGTTATGAGATGTACCGTGCATGAGATGTGCACATGAGGTGTACATGTACTGTGTATGTGCTATGAGACCCATCTGTGTACATCTGTGCGTTGTGACTTATAAGTGCATTTATGTACATGTGTGCTCTGTGTACATGTACTGTGTGTTCTGTGTGCTATGATACCATCCATGTATACACGTGTGTACTATTGGTGTGCTTATCTATGTCTTCATGTGTGCATGTATTCTGCGTGTATCTATGTGTGTCTGCTGTGTGTGAATATACTGGGTGTCCCAATGTGTGCATGTACTGTGTGTATGTATGTTGTGTGTGCCATGTGTGCATGTTTTTCTGTGTGTGTGCGTTGTGTCTGTGTGCCATGTGTGCATGTACTGTGCGTGTTTATGTGTGTGTGCCGTGTGTGTACTGTGCTTGTCTGAGCATGTCTGTGTGCAGATCCTGTGCATGTTTGTGTGCTGTGTTTGCATGTGTCTGCATGCCTGCATCTGTGTCTTGTGCATGTGTGTGCTGTGCGTACATGTCTGTGCATCTGTGTGCACATCCTATGTGTGTGTCTGTGTGCGGTGTTTGCGTGTCTGTGCATTTCTGTGTGTGCCTGTCCTGTGCGTGTGTCTGTGTGTGTCTGTACATGTCAGCATGTGCATGACTCCACAGGTGCACATACAACTGAGAGTACTCACTCATCCCAATTGCTCTCAAGGGCTTGACACCAGATTCTTGCCACTTTTTGTCCGGGAAGTAGAAATTTAAACAACATTTGCTAGAAATACTTTTAAATTGTCTTCCTGTGTTATTGCTGGAGAGTGCAGTGTTTTTTCCTTTTCCTTTTTGAGTAGTTTTGAAGCAGATACCGAGTGTCACCTTGTTCATCAGCATCTCAGTGCACTTCTTTAGAACATAAAAGCTGTTAAAAGCCCTCACGCTGTGCTGCACTAGCCTTGGTTTGTCAGAACCCATCGTCTCATTCAGGGAGATGTGCTTGTTGCTTTGTGAGAGAGAGAGAGAGAGAGAGAGAGAGAGAGTGTGTGTGTGTGTGTGTGTGTGTGTGTGTGTTCAGCTCACAACCGTATGAGGCCTGTTCCAGCTGCTCAGCAAAGCGCCTCTCACTACACAGCTTCCCTCTGTCCTTTCCGTTAGCTTCACAGTCTTTTTGTAGCAAAAACTCAGTTGTTTCTCTGTGGAGATTTTGGTTTGCTTCTTCCTGACTCAGTTTCCCTGGTTCATAGCTCAAAGTTTAGCCATATCCAGGCTCTGGTCTAAAGAGGTTGTGTCATCCCTGGCACCACACACTTCCACCAGGGCACATAGGAAGACCATTTGTCTTTCAAACCTGTTTTTAAAGAAAAAGGCTTACTGACATGTCAGCCTAGGCATAGCCTCCTTTAAACTTGGCCATTTCCTTTCTGGAAAAAAAGTGCTCATCTTTGCTATGGGATATTTTAAATATGCATGATTTGTCACTCTTTCCCTGGGTCTAACTTAGTCACTTTGAGTAATGACCACGGAAATGCTGCTTTCTAGCTGCGACCAGCAAATGCTGCAGGTTACCGACTGAGGTTTTTGATGCACATATTGACTCCAGAATATGGCTTCAGGACTTGAGAAACCCCCATCCTATAAGGAAACACTACCATTCTCTTGAGAATGGATGTGAGCCCACACACCTCAGGCTGCTGGGATCTGAGACCCTTCTCCCACCCTCGTGTGAAGCTGTCCTGCCGCTGTGTCAAGACCAAGACAGGGACACAGCTTTTTGATGGGAAATGTAGGGATTTTATGTTAATTCTGGTGATGGCCATGTAGTGTGAGAAGGCCCTTCCAGTTTCACACCAGCAGCCTCTGCCCTAGAAGCCAAGATGGTAGAGGTCATGATGAAGATGCCAGCAGCCGGGAATGGAATGAGCTTCCTCACTCACCTTCCACGTGAGACCATGTCTGTGGGGTTGGTCCTGAGCATCATCAGTGGCTTAGTGAGCCCTGTGGTGTCCGTGCTGGGAACAGCAGCTGCTGTGCTGAGTCAGGACGTTGGCCACAGGGTGGGGACGTGGTGACCCCTGAGTGGTGAGACTGGGGAGAGCCGCTGCGGAAGAGCAGGGCTTCACACCAGCCACCAGTCCTCCTCCCTGCAGGCACCCTGGGTCCACCAGAGAACGTTTTCTGGAGGTAAAACACATGTTTCCTATTTAGAGAATTCTTAGCTGTGTAGCTGAAGCCCCAGCATAAGTAGGAATGAGGTAAATTTCTGGGGAAAACAGAAATGCGAGAACCACTCCTCCCGTTCAGCTGTGGTTTCTGTGGCAGATGCGATTACCGTCCTTACGTGGAAATGGGTCTCGGTGACTTAGCCCGCAGTGGATGCTGAGAGACGCGGCTGGTGTGGTTTCCCCAGGACAGGAGGGTTCTGCACCCTGTGCCAACTACCACTACACGTGGGCCCCGGAGCAGCCCTCACTGCGGCGTCCACTGTCCATGGGGAGGGCCTGTGGTGGCAGCAGCCAGGCCAGGAAGCAGATTCACTGGGATAGGTTTGGCAGAGCGGCCTGAACCGTGGCTCCCATCTGAGGTGCTGACCTCTCCTCGCTCGAGCTGCTGCTTGTTTGTCACCAGATCTGGGTCCAATGCCAGGTCCATGCAGTTTGAGGTTCCGTCAGTCACCCTGCTCCCCAGACTGTCCATCCTGACCTTTCCCCCCTCTCCCCACCCAAGACCAGGATGAATAGTGAGCACTGCCAAGGGGCTCCCCTTAGGGGCTGCTGACCTTTTCCATAGTGGGGGTGTGGCATGTAGACTGGGGCACAGGTCACGGTTCCCACAGCAGGGGGTGCAGTGTGTGAACTAGGACATAGGTCACGGTTCCCACAGCATGGGGGTGCAGCATGTGGACTGGGGCGCAGGTCACGGTTCCCACAGTGGGAGTACCCTGTGTAGACTGGGGTGCAGGTCACGGTTCCCACAGTGGGGGTGCCCCGTGTGGACTGGGGCACAGGTTCCAGTTCCCACAGCAGGGCGTGCAGAGTGTGGACTGGGGCGCAGGTCAAGGTTCCCACAGCGGGGGGGTTATATGCTATTGTTTTCCTGGCCTGATACCAGTGCAAACACTGGCCATCACTTAGGCCCAGTTGGGCATCTGTTACTTTGTAAATTATCAACAAAGCTTCCTGAATACATCAAGCCTATGTCATCTGTTAAACCAGCAGAAGGGACTTGGTACCAGGAAGGAGGTGCTGAGTAACTTCTCACATCCATGGCAGGTGACATTTCGGGGAGCAAACGTCTATCGGGGGACCTGCCCTAGCTGGGCAGTCTGGTCCTGGCACTGGTGCGGCCCTGCTCTTGGCCCCACAGTCCCGGGTGGGCTGCACGCCTGCCCTGGCCCTGGCCTCTGCCTCTGGACAGCAAGGGCTCTGGGCAGCAGGGACCCTAGAACCCTCCACCTGCTGCACAAATGAGCACAGTGACAGGAAAGCTGACTCACAGGAGAATGTCATGCCCCACCTTCTGTATTATCCATGGGTTTTCTGTGCACTCTGCTGGTGAACTGCATCACTGGCAAACATGACCTGCCACTGTGGACCCCCTCCCCAGCCTCTCTGTGGCTTCACGTGCCCTTCGTGCTCTCCTCTGGGATCCTAGACAGCCCATTGCGCTCTCACACATTGGCTGTGGCCCCAGTCAAGAGCTGGCCCATGCTGTCTGTGGCTCAGGTGGGGCTCAGGTGGGGCTGGCAGGGCCCCTCACCCGCACTCAGAAAGAACAGACCTGGGCGGTGCAGATGCTTTCTGCCCCCTCCGCTGTCTCGGAAACATGAACAGGGCGGGAATGCCGGATAAGGAACCCCGGGGTCTTGTCCATTGACAGGATTCCAGACGTGCCAGCGTCTGGGTGAGCATCTCCCAGGGCAGCTGCTCTGCTGTGCAGACAGAGGAGCACCAGGGCCAGGGGCAGACGCTTTCCCGTCTTCTCAGTCAGCCTAGACGTGCCCCTGCCGTGTTAGGGGGTTTGGTCATTTATTACTGAGTTGCCTGGCTGTTTTTTATTGTAGGGAATGTATATGGTGTAAACGTTGCCATCTCGCCCACTCTCAGTGTGTAGTTCAGTGGCACTGATCATGCGCAGAGTGCCCTGCGGTGCCACTGCCTCCAGACAGTCCCCTGCAGCGCCAGCCCCGTGCTGGCCCCTCCAGTCCTTGCTCTGTCAGGTGTGTGTCCTTCCATGCTGGCCCCCCTCACTTTGCACTGTGTTTTCAGAGCTCATCTGTGTTTCCTTTTCGCAGCTGAATGGATGGCCGACAGTTTGTGTGTCCATTCATCTGTGCCTGCAGTACGTGGTGCTGCTCTGAACATTCACACAAGAATCTGTGTGGGTCTGTGTCTGCTCCTTGGGGGCATATACTAGCTAGGCGTGCAATTGCTCGGTCACGGGATAATTCTAGGTGTAGATTTTTGATGAGCTGCCAAACTCTTTTCCATAATGGCCATACCGTTTTATGTTCCTGATGGCACGGACGTGGGGAAGTGAGTCCTCTAGCTTCATTCTTCTTTTTCAGGATTGCTCTGTCTCTTCAGGGCTCCATGCAATTCCATATGGATTTGAGCATCCGTTTTTCTGTTTCTGAGGGAATAAAAGGCTGCTGGAAATTTGGTACTGCGTTGAATGTGTAGGTAACTTGGGCGCATCTTGTCATCCTGCCATCCAGGAGCACAGCACATCCCTCATTATTTAGTTTGTCTTTAATTTCTTTCAGTGCGATGTGTGGGTTTTAGGCCTTTACCTCTATTTGCTTGTGTTCTGGGCTGAGCCCTATTTGGATCCCATCGTGACCTGATAGTGGGCTGGTTTCCAGGGTCCCCCTACAGCACTGTGGGTCCTCACGTGCATGTGCCCTGACTGGACCTTGAGTTAGGGAGGCCACTGGAGGCTGATCAGCCAACTGTGAGTGAGGGCTCTCAGGGTCTCACAGTTAGGCTGCAGATCTTGAGGTGGGGACCGTGAAGGTAGGGCCTCCCTAGAAAAGAATCCTGTGCTGCTATCCACAGATAGCCCTTGGGGCCTCAAGAAATGCAGCAGAAGGGACAGGGTGGGATGTGGGGGTGGTCTCTGAGTGCTGAATGTGACAGATTGTAGCCTAGAATGTTCTTTACAGCCTCCAGAGCTTTGGCTGTGCTGGAAGCCAATTTTTCCCTCTTTACCTTCTCTATAGCATATTAATGGCCCCAACTGGAAGAACTATTTGGAGTTGCAGACAGCTTGATTTATCCCAGCTCTGTTCTTAAATGGTTGCTAATTTCTCACTGCAAGAAAATTCACAGTTTTTCAGTGAGTCAGCTTAATAACAAGATCAGGGCAGACAGTCTAGCTAATACTAACCTCACTTTAGGTGCTTCGTATTAATACAGTAATACTCGGAATCCTGGAGCTTTATCATGAAGAACAGCCAAACATTCTTTTCTTTCAGACCCTACATGAGGCCACCAGTACATAAAAGATGTTTTGGACACATCAAGGCCCATGCTTCCATGCACCACCACTCCCCTGCTGCCATTATGCAGTGATCCACAAGGCTGGACGCCCTGGGGTCCTGGTGGCACAGCTCGCAGCAGAGCTGGGCCTCCGACTCCCTGCTTCCCACATCTTGATGGCTGGTGTGAGGTGCATACATGGAGATGCATCTGCTTTGGTCAGCGGACCTCCTTTGCTGGATGAGCTGTTTTTCCGTTTTTATAAACAAGGTGGAAACATGTCCGTCTCCGCTCGTATCTGTGCTGCTGTCCCAAGATCTGTGGTGCCAGGAGGTAGAAGCTGTCAGGGCATGTGGCCAGAGCAGAGGAGAACGTAGTGATGTCTGCTGTGTCCTGGGGAGCACGTGGTGCCTCCTACTTCCAGCCCGGGTCACACTGACACACCCGCACCCTGCCCGTGGAGAACGGAGCTTGCTGTGCAGACACAGTTGAGCACCTCTGCCCCTCTGGGCTGCAGATCGCTGAGTATTCCGGACCATGCCGGCACACATTTGTGTCTCACCTGTGCCTGTGTATTTCTTTGGAGTTTATAAAAGTCACTTTCTCCTCAGCTCAGTTGGACAGTTCCTGTGTCGGGTGGACGTGCTTGCAGAGATGGCTGGTCACCGGGCTGACTTACTGGTGTGGCAGGGGCTTGAGGCAGAGCCCAGGGACAGCCAGCTGATAGTTCAGAGGCTGGCGGCATGACACACCGATGACTAGACAGCTTGTCATCCTGGGCCGCAGAAGTAACAACTGTGTGAAGGTCTGGCCAGACTTCCTGTTCCCCATTTTTTCCACCCCGTGTTATATGGAATGCACATGATGGCATTTAATTTCTCTCATTCATTCCTTAAAGAGAAAAACACTGGACCAGGACTTGAGGTTCCTAGTTTGAAGACTTGCTCGGTGATTTTCTTTGCAGACTTGGTAGCTACGCAGATCACACGTGTTTTTGTAGTATTCATTTCAAGTGCAGTTTTGGCGGGTCAGCTGGGCTCTCCACAGGCCACAGAGGAGGGGTCTCGGTGAGACATTTTCAGAATCAGACAGTTCAACAGGAACGAGCCCGTGTTTACACAATAGACTCCATAACATGCTCAACTTGCATAGGCACATCAGTTGGTCTTGCTCACGAAGTAAGTTGTGTGTCTGTTATCTCTGCATAGGAGGCACAGACTCCTCCCGCTGCTGCTGCCTTGATAGGGAGGGGAGATGCTCACACAGGGGCTGGCATGGGGGACGGTGCTCAGGGGGAGGGTGTGGAGATGTGCTGTGAGGATACCACTCAGCAGCTTGCTAGAACTTCACATAATAGAAGACCATATCTCGCTAATAATTCGTTATATTGATTCTATGTTGAAATGATAATATTTTTATTGAGTTGAGTTAAACAGGATGTGTTCTTCAAATCAAAAACACTTACCATTTTTTATAGGGCACCTGAATGGCTCAGTTGGAGGAGCCTGTGACTCTTGATCTTGGGGTCGTGAATTCAAGCCACATAATCAGAATGTAGAGATTACTTAAATAAAAAAATGCTTACTGTTTTTACTGTTGAAAATGTGAGCATTAAAAAATTTAAAGTCACAGGTGTGGCCCTCCTTATGTGGGACCTTTGCCATAGCTTCTCAGAGCTCCAAGAGCAGGCCTGGGGCTGGTGCCCTCCTCTCATGGCTGTTTGAATGGCTTGCTGATCCCTGGCAAGGGCCCTTTTGCCTTTCTAAGGAATGTGTGGAGTTCCTGTCAGTGTCACTGGTGCTGTGACACCTGTCGTCCACGAGCTCATCACACCAGGGCCACACAGTGCACACTGGCTGCAGAGCCCGGGGTCTTGCACATGCCTCTCAGCCCCGTGTGTGCAACAGTTAGTGTGAGGGTTCACAGAGACATTCCATGCCCTCATTTGGGATGACTGTGGATGAGAAACCAGGAAGCAGCTGCGTGGATATGCACTTCCACCCCCAGTGTCATGTCCCCAGGCCAGCGTATGGGTATGGGTATTCACACAGGTGCCACAGCATCACCAGCGGTGCTTGTCATCTAGGCTCAGGACAGGTTTTACTTTCTTCTCTGGCCCCATGTCCTGATTTTCTATCTGTGGTGTGAGTCTTGGAACAGGACAGGACAGTGGATGCCCCGCTCTGAAGGAAGCAGCTGTTGCCTTGTGGCGAGGCTGCACCCGGCCATCCACACAGCTGTGGTGGTGACTGCTCACAGTTCAGAGCCGGGTGGTTTGAAGGACGCTACGTGGTTGACAAGGACATAGAGGTGGTGGACAGCGCATGTGGCTTCATTGCCCGGCACAAGGCAGGGGGGTGGAGGTACCACTCATGAGTGTGAAGTCAGGTATAACCAAGCATGTGGCCAAGGCCAGTCTCCTCAGGGCCATAATGTGAATGTACCTGCTGGAGCAACCTCATTAGAACACTGAAAGTACAGGCCAACTGGGAGGGGTCATTGAGCAGAGAAGACGGAGCGCGAGGACCTGCCTCACACGGTGGTGATGGTGAGCAGCGACTGTTTATTATGCTGTTTGGGCCTCAGCCATATGAGGTCATAGGAACGCGATGGAAAAGACCTCCTGTATTAGGTCATCTAGCCCGTCCCTCAGAGCTGACTGACCCCACAGTATACTTTCCAGAGCTCCGTCCAGTTTTTCCAGTGACTCAGCGGCTCCCAGAGGGTGCAAAAGGCTGCTGTCTGAGCCTGCGACCTTGGGTCAGGATTTGTTCCTCCGCGCCTAGACGGAGCTCCCAGGGATGATGCTTGTGTGCAGAGATATGTGGGGTAAGTCCTGCCTCTGTCAGGAGCGCCTGAGACTGCAGATGGCCCTAGCGCTCCTCACCACTGGGTCCCTCCTGCAGCGGAGCCCTTCCAGGACTTGGCGGGGGCGCCTCACATCCCACTTTATAGTTTTCACAGCTTGTTCACATTTGTGAGCTCATTGCAGCCTCACCATTCCTGAGGAAGGAGTTGATCTTACTACACTCCAAGCCACCTCCCTGCCTCCTCCATTCCATTCCTCCTATATCCGATGAAGCAGCTCTCTCACGTGGTGGGCAGCACAGGGTCACTTTGTGTGAATGCACAGGGAGTGTCACGCCTTCCCCTGGGGTGCTGTGTGGTCTCCATGATGACAGTAGGTCTCAGGCTGCAGTGTCCTGGCTGTGCCTGCGACAGTGATCTCTGTGTGCGGCATGGTGTGGTGCCAGTAAAGTTAGATCTGGGGCCCTTCTGATGCTCACCCAGGCTGCCCACACTGACATCGGTCCCTAAGGGACAGAGGCCTTTGACATGGGGAACAGGCCCCCGGGCTCCTCTGATGATTCATGTTCTGCAGTTCCTTTGTCCTGACCTAACCAGTGATCTGAAACTTTCCCTAAAAGAGGTATTAACGTTTATTGCAAGTAGTTGGTCATTAAGATCTCTCTTAAAATCATTCCTTTTTGTTGTTACCTTGAGGATACTACATTTTTAAATGCAGGCTCACCATGCATGTAGTTAAAGCACATTTCTCAATGCAAGTGGCCTCAATAGGATTGCAGTAAAGTGGCTGCTCTTACCAGCGTATGAGACGTTTTGACATGTGACATGAGTCCCAGAGATGTTGGCCTCCCAGAGCCCTGGGGCCTATGCTTCCAGGCCAGCCCACCTCTTTTTACAGGGGCCCCACGGGCTGTGCTTTGAGGCTGCTCCAGGCCTCGGGCTATTTGTATGTATCTGTGAAATGTTTCAAACAGGAAGAAAGGGATTTGGCTTACGTGGGTGCATACAGGTAATAGAGACAGTGGTTGGTCAGAGCCGGAGCCTGGTTGTGCCCTGAGCCAGCCCTCCCCTGCTATGTGGCTGGAACAGCAGTGCCCCGGGGCATCGTCAGGAGGGAGGGGGCTGGAGCTGGCCAGAGGGCAGGCTCCGCAGCCCTGGGGGTCAGTGCTGGTCAGCAGCAGAGCTGAGACCCAAACCCGGGATTGGAAGGCAGAGGGTTTGTCATCCCCACTGACTCACAGAATTTCCTAAGTACTGCAAAATAGTGTCTGTTTTTGAGAGCTTAAGAGAAGGCAGGCCCTCCTGCCATGTATGCTGCTCTTGCAGATCCTGAGGAAGCTGAAGAGTCTCGCACTGGACACTGAGACGGAGCTGGAGAGGCAGGATGACGTCCTGGACGGCATCACCGCAGCCATTGACCGGACCACCTTAACCATTGACAAGCATAACCAACGTACGAGAAAACTGACCTAGGACTGGAAAGCAGAGAGGTGACTGATTCTGATGACAGTGGCTTCCCTGAGGACTTTGTCCTCAACACTTGCATGCTTCCTACATAAAAATCTGGGAAGTCGTCCCAGGGGCCAGTTAGTAGTTGGAGGCCCTGTGCCAGGAGCTGTGGGCTTGCCTCAGGGTGCAGGGCTGCTGTGATGTGATTCCTGCCATAATACAGGCAGGGAAGGGGGAGCTCCAGGAGAGGGAGGTCTGCCTGCAGATCCAGCAAGTCCCCCCAAGCCCCTGCCATGGTGGCCCTGCTCCCCCACTGCCCCCAGGCCCCAGCTCCCTGCTCCCCTGTTCCCTACTCCCACAGCCCAGCTCCCCTGCTCCCCCATTCCCCTCAGGTCCCAGTTCCCTGCTCCCCCCAGGCCTCGGCTCCCCCTTCCTACTGGAGCCCTTCAGAGGGTCCACAGTAACAGAAAGGCTCTTACCCACACGGATGGCTGCACCCAGTGGCTGCTTTGCATGGCGAGCATCCCCACTAGCTGAATTTTCATTCTTTCTCTGTTCTTGCTAGGTGTAAAAGGGCAATTTAAAACTCTGTGAAAGAAATGTGCTGATTTTTGAATCTGCCTCACCTCTGTGGGCTGGTCTGCATGGGCCCCTCTCATGTCACTTCATTCCATTCTTCTCTGGAAGACGGGCCTGTGTCTTTTGGTTGTACTGTGACCTCCAGTACATCTGTAGGTCTTTCTGTGAACACCTAGAATATTCTTGTCCAGTTTGTAGCCAAGTGTGAAAATAATACATACTGCACCTATTTTAAAAAGTGTTGATTTTTTTTTCTTTGACCGCTCTATTTCTATCCAGAAACAAAAGAGAAATCATGGTTTAGAATATATTTTGAAGATGAGCAGTCATGCTGCTTTTTGCTTAGTTTTGGGTGTTTCAGTGAGAGGGCCCCTCAGGGAAGGACAAGGCCAAAGTGGAGAAGTGGGAGACCCTTCCCCTATCACAGCCAAACAGGCCACCTGCAGACCGCTTTGCAGTAGCATCCAGGAGGGCTGTGCACAGAGACGCCTTTAGGCCTTGCTAAGGTGTCCCTTTCAGACTGCACGGCAGGCCCCGTGCTGACGTTCTGGGTCCTGGACGGTTTGAAGAGTGAATGGGCAGGCGCAGTGCTAGTTTTCTAGGGCTGCTAATGAAATACCATAAATGAAGGTCTCGGGACACCAAGCTCTGTCCCCTCCCAGGTCTGGAGGCCAGGAGTCCGCAGTCAAGGTGTCGTGGCCGTGCTCTCCACCTGGAGGGGCCCCAGGCATTCTGGGCTCGTGGCCATGTCTCCCCAGTCTCTGCCTCTGTCACCACATGGTCATCTCAAATCTCCTTTTCTCATAAGGACATCTGGCTCGCCCTGAGCCAGGATCAGCCTTTGCATCGTGTGACAATTTCCACTAAGGTCTCATTTCTGAGGTTTGGTGTGGGTGTGAATTTTGGAGTGCTGTGACTTCTGGAAGCTGACCTGTTCGAGAAAACACAGGAAGGGGCACCTGGATGGCCCAGTGGTTGAGCACCTGCCTTTGGTTCAGGTCATGATCCCGGGGTTCCAGGATCAAGTCCCGTATTCCCCCCAGCCTGCTTGTCCCTCTGCCTGTGTCTCTGCCTGTCTTTGTGTCTCTCATGAATAAATAAATAAAATCTTTTAAAAATCTTTTAAATCTTTAAAAAAAATAAAGACATAAGAAATAGCACTTCCAGAAAGTAACCTTCACAGGGGTCTTCTAATTCTTCACTTCTTGGTGAATTCTGTTCCTAGTCTCTAGCTGCATTATTTGGTCTGTACTTCCCAACCTCCACTGCACCTGTCCCATCAAGGTTTCTGACTGATGCTGGTGTGTGAGTGGTTGCTCCTGACTTTTCCTGGCAGGATGAGGATGGAGCTTTCAGAGCTCACAGCCACTCCAGAGATCTGAGCCCCATGCAGTTCTTCTGCTCATGCTCAGTGCTGAAGAGGGCAGGGAGGGCACAGCAGATGTGTAGATGTGTCAACAAGCACAGTCACTGAGAGGTTATGTACTGCCCAGAGGTGCTGGCTGGATGGCATCCTATGGAGTGAGGAAGAATGCTGGAGGAAAGGCAGCCCGTGCCCTGGGCCCAGGGCAAGTGCAGGTGGGCAGGCTGTGTGCCCAGAAGCTGCCACTTGTCACAGCAGCCCAGGAGGAGTGACATTCCCAGACATGGAGCATATGGTTCTGAGTGACAGCTGTGCTCTGGGCTCACACCAGGGACTCAGAAAATCCACACACGTGTGCCTACCCACATGTACGTGCATGCGTGCGTGTACACACACTGACCCCAGGTGTGTGTTCCTTAGGAGGCTATACCTGGCCTTCTGTCCAGGAGGCCAACAGCACGGCAGTACTGCAGGTGACTGCAGCTGAGTCCAGGGTCGTCCCCAGGAGGCCCACACCCCATCCCCAGGTTCACAGATGCAGTAATGGCACATAGTCTCCTCCCAGAGCTAGGAGAGGGGAGGAGGGTGACTGATGATGGTTTCTACAAATGATTTTCTCTACAGGCTCCAAATTATCATGCATGGAAATTTTAGGAGAGGAAAATACAAACATGCTTGAGACATTTTCAGACACCACAGAAACCCTTGACTGCAGTCAGTGAGGGTTGGGGCTTTGGGTTGGGTTGGGTTTGGAGTTTGATAAAATGCTCTCTTGGAGGCAGCTCTGCAGGTTAGGGCATCAACCCTGGCGCAAGACTACCAGCCTCACCTGTGAGGACCCCCTCCATTCTCACTGCTGCCAGTGTAATTATTAGCTATAGGTTGGAGTAAAACTTGAAAGACACACAAATTGTAGTCAGTTTTCACATTTGCAACTGATTTCCACCTCCACGTAATATTTCAGACTTTTGGCACCCATCTGGAAACTTGGAACAGCAGTCAGCCTGTCGAGGAGGTAATTTCCTTGATTCATTTTGAAAGTGAAAAGCCACAGGGTTGGAGGCAAGGGTGGTCCTGCTTCCCAGAAGGGCCCTCAGGCTCCTCCCTGGGTTTCCTCAGCAGGGAAGGTACTGACTTGCAGATCCAGGGGCTCCTCCCAGCCCTGGAGAGCTACACAGGGGCCACGCTCTCAGTTATCAGGAGTGGAGGGCTGTGGTACAGGGAAGGGAGCCCCTGTACCCTCCTGCTGCTGGAGCCGGGGGTGACGAGCGTGGAGACTGCTCTGTCAGCCTGACCTGTGTGCTGGGGCTCCTGGAGGTGTGGACAGGCATGTCCTCAAAGCATGGTTGGCGTCCCATCATGTACAACTGCAGGCAGCGGGACCTCAGAGAAGCTCTGGCACCTTCCTCCACCAGGTTCCTCAGGGTCCTTCAGATTTTGCTCAGCATCTCCTGTCCCCACCTCTGCCTTTCCCTTTCACCCTAGGGAGAGAAGTGTGAGCTAAAGAACAGGTGAGTTGCTTTCCTCAGCTGACCCTTCTGCTTGGAAGGTGGGAAAGTTACAGAAGGGGCATCTTTCCTGAAGGGAGCAAAGGCCTTGTGTCCATCTGGTTGTAGGATGCAGAAACCCAACTGGATGTGGGGGACAGTCAGGGCCTCACAGGCTTTCCTGAAAGTGCTCCAACAGCCCAACACCACTGTCCCAGGCCGCTCCCCCCCCCCACCCCGCCCCCAGTGGCTGTTCCCCCTTGCCTGGCCATGCAGCTGGTGCAGGAGGTCGGTGAGGCTGACCCTTGTTTGGAAGCACTGGGGCACTTGCCCTGGGAGGGTTGGGGGCAGTCAAAAGGGCATGCCTAGCACTCGGCGTCCCTCACATGAAGAGCTGTCATTACAAACCCCAAGAGAAGAGCATCAGTTACAGGCCCCAAAAGGACAAGGTGTGCATTGCAGCTCCTATCAGAAATTCCCCACCTCTGCAGTCCAGCCAATGAGAAATCATTACTGTCCTGAATTGACCTTCTCTTATCCCTGAATACACCCATTTTTGCTCACAAAGTAACAATTTTATTTTTAAGGTTAAGGGAAAGCAAGGAATGTGCAGCCTCATGACGTCCCTTGGATGTCACTCTTGGGACCTCAGGCTGTGTTTTCCAATGGATGTGATATGCTGGTTCCAGATGTGGCAATAGCTCTGAGAGGTGCTGCTGGGGAATGAGATGATGGGGACGGGTAGAAGGCCTAAGCCCCAGCAGCATCTCCAAGTGCTGAGTGAGTGCTTCATCTACTAATCGAACACCTCTGGCCACTTGTGTGGCATTGCTCCAAGGGCTCACAGAGCAACCCCACAATGGCACCGACGCCACTGGCAGGTATCATGCGCTCTGCACGTGAGATTCCAAGTGACCAGCAGGAGCAAGCCTGCAAGGAGGACTGTGTGGAAAGAAGGGAAGGAGTCTCAGGTTCCAGACTGGGGCCTGGACGAGCAAAGGCTGCTCAGGGTCCAGATCCAAAACCACCCATTTATGCCCCATCTCATAGTAAAATGGTCTCCTGGAGTCTGAGGCTGGCTGCTAAACCCAGACGACCTTTCTCCCCAAGTGGCTTGACCCCACAGCACATGGCCCTGACAAAGGGTGTCACAGAGGGAACTGGAGAAATTGCTGGGGGAGTGGAACAAGATACCCTGGGTAGCAACAGTATCATCCCTCCAGACAAACCCAAATTGGGAGGTGCCCGAACCTGCAGCCGCACTTTCTTTGTGTGCTGGCAGGAGTGTTTAGGTCATGAGAAGGGAGATCATTGCATATTGTCCAAGCGCACTCTGACCTCTGGGTTTGGAAGAGTAAGTGCTTTGCCCTCGTGAATTCACACCCTGACCCTAGATGCCCACAGTTCAAGACCTGCTGCCATGAACATGCTCAGCCCTCCCTCATTACACTGCCCAGAATAGTAATGTCACCCACTTCCTAACACATCCTATGAGGACAGCATTATCCTAATACAAATCCAGCAAAGACATTACAAAGGAACCACAGACAAATATCTCTCATGAGCATAGATGCAAAAATATTCAACAAA